AGTGCCCGGCCTAGGTACGTCCTTAGCCGAGGAGGGTACTCGGGAGGGAAACCTGTTCGGTGCGGGTGCACATTTGAGCGATCGACCGAGCGTGGTGCTCGGCCCGGACGAGTATTATCTGAGGTCGGACCTGAACATTTATGACGTACACGCACATAATTAACTTTAACAAAAAAAAAGAGTAGGCCGAATACCCGAGCCCGCGAACAACTAGGCCGAATACCCGAGCCCGTGAGTGATTAGGCTGAGGATCCGACCCCTTAATAATTACGCCGATCACCCTAGCCCACCGACCACTTATAAGCGAGTGAAACGTGTCGGGTTGGTCGGTCAATTTTTGTGCCTTTGCTAGACCGATTGTAGAGTTTAATTAGCGTAATACATTGGATTAGCCCCCTAATTTTCTGGGGCCCAATCCTTAATCACGGCCCAACACTAGCGTCTATAAATAGAGCCCCAACGAGGTATGTAATTAACTTTCAAGGCACCTAAACCGATATATTTTAGGGAGAACCTGTTGGATAGCTCTTCCATAAATTGGCGTAGAAATCGAGATTACCGATGAGTAGAAGATCATCAACATTAACCAGTCAAAAAACTTACACCCCATCCTTATTCTAGACAAATAACGAGGACTCACTGCTGCGTTGTGAAGCCATAAGATCCAACATAATGTATCGCTAAACATGTACCCACATGCGCCATTTATTGAAATTTTCTATTTTTTATATATAATATTTTAATATATGTAAATTTAAATTTTGTAATATAATAACTATTATTTTGAAATATAAAGATATGAAATAAATATATTATAATTGTTATATGTTATTTTTTTTATTCATTATATTACAAATCTGTGTTCACACTATATTAAAAAAAACATTAAAATTATGTATTGACATTATGTACAAAAATAAATATTACATAAAATTAGTTTTGTAAGAGGAAAATTGAAAGAATTTATTATTGAAGTCAAAAATTGATTACAAAATAACAAACCACCAATGAAACAAATATGATATTAAAATGAATACATGTCACTATTTAGATGGATATTTAGTAATTTACTTTTTTGGTGTTAGGTTGTTGAATTATTATTTTTTTTGTTTGTTTTTCTTTAAACTTTGAATTAGAATTGTCTCTTTTCGAGGAATCAATTCGTATAGATGTCTTTCTCCTTGAATAAGCATTTTTATTTGATGATAATCCATCTTTTAACTTCTTGGATAGTTGTTTGTTTATACTTATAATGGATTCTTCATCCGAGGAAGAAATTGGTTGTGGTGATTTAGGCTCCTTGTTTGAATTTTAAAATATAATTAGTGACTAATAATATTGATATTCTTTAAGATAAGTTTTAAAGGATACAATTTTTTTTTAAATTTTAGTATTAAAAGAAAGGGATATGAGAGATTCATATATTCAACAAAATAAATATTAGGAGACCAAATTATGGAGAATAATATTACAATACAAAATCCACCTCTATATTTTAATTTTTAAGACTATAATTAATTAATTAAATAAAATTATTTCTAAATGGATGATATTAATAAATAATAAATTATTTAATATAAAATAATAAAATTAATGATTTTTAAGCATAATCTACTTGAAATTTTAATTTTCAGTTTCAATTAAAAATCGTGCATGCTAAATTACTAATTAACATGTATATATTCGTATTTACTAATTTAATGCATCATCTTTTTTGGAACATGGTTCTTCATAATAAACTAAATAATTTAGAAATCAAATTACTTATTCATTCGCGTTAATCCATTTTCTTCTAAATTAACATGATATATATGTATTGAAATTTATGAAAATAAGAATAGTTTAATTATCAATTTATTACTATTCAGTTTTATTAAAATATAATTACATTCCAATAGTATAATTGATGAAAATAATATTTTATATAAAATAGTAATAATGTGAGAATAAGTGTTATAATCAATTGAAATTCAAATTGTAATAATATTATTTTCTCTAGCAGAGACAATGTTTAACTTTGCAAAATTTGAAAGCATATTGAATGTTATTGTGCAAATTAACCGAATGGAATGTTGATTATTAAAATGTCAATCATAGAAAATAATAAATAATATTCAATTATTATTTATTAAACTCAATGACATAGTAGGTAAAAAAAGAGGGATTTGTAGTTATTATGTAGAGGTAATTCAGAATGACACATATGTAATTTTGTTGACATGCCAACATATTAGAGATATTAGGTAAAAAGAGAAGGATTTATAATTATTATGTAGAGGTAATTCAGAATAATACATAAGCAATTTTGTTGACATAATAGCGTGTTAGGAATATTTTAAGATGAGGTATCAATGTAATACAAAGTAGCTTGACTTTTATATTATAAATAGATAGATAAATAGATGTGGAGCTTGTCTCATAGTCTATTTGAACAAATAATTTATTTAAGATCTTATTTAATAAGCTCTTATATAATAAAAAATTATGTTATGAGTGTTTAAAATTTAATAAGTTATTGTATTTAGATATACATATTAACAAATAGTTATACAATTTTAAAGTATTTGGATGTATTAAGCACTTATAAGATATTATCTTATATTAAAATTTTAAAAAATATAGATTAAATTTTGATTGAAAATAAAACAATAAAAAGACTTAAAAACATTTATAGTCCTACAAAATTAGTTGATTTTTTTATTTTAGTCCCTATAAAAATACCTCTTTGGTTTTCATCCCACTAAATTGAAACTATAGTTTTTAATCTCTATGTTTTTTAAAAGAGTAAGAGTAAGTGAATGTCCAAGATGTTACATGAAATTACTAGTGATATCATGTCAGTGTTTGAAATCTCTAAAAATTCGTATAAATCTTTTTAAAATAATTATTATTTATTCATCTACCTTAAAATAACTATTAGAGACAAAAAAATAGTAACTTTAAATTTTGAAGATATAAAAATTAAAGAAAAATATTTTACACATGATTTATTTATTTTACCAAGACCAAAAATAATGTTTACAAATTTTAGAAGGATGAAAAACAAAAAAAAAAATTACAAGGTCAAAATTTTAAAAATCAATTCTATATTAACCATGATTAAAAATTAAAAACCCTAAATTTTAAAAATTAAAAATAAATTATATATATTGTATAAAATCATGATTAAAAAATTATTATATAAATATTAACAACAAAACTATTCCAATGTGCTATTTAGTTTTAGAGAAGAGTAAAAAAGTTGTGAGTGTTTTTTTTTTTTTTATAATCGGGAAATGTAGATATGGGGGGAAAGATTAAAAAACATGGAAAAGAGAAAAAAAAATATAAAGAAGAACAAAAAACTTTTAAATGGAGAAACAAAAATATTTGGAAAGAATAATGAAAAAAATGTATAAAACTAATTTTTTAGTGAAAGAATGAAAAATAAAATAAAAATTAAAGTTATTTATATCGGGACAAGATTCAAACTTAGATATTTCTTAGTAAATTCTAACATAGACTAAGTAATAAGTTATATTAATCGGTTTATCAAAATAAATTTAAAACATATCTCATGAGATACTCATATAATATTTTATAAATTTAACTATATATTTTTATAGATACTTATAAAATAAGATAAGTACAAATAAGTTATTTATGTGTTCTTTCAAAGATTTTGTAAATGGCCTTCTTGGATCAACTTAATTACAAACATAATCTAGATGTTCTTTGTGGACAAAACCAGGAGATTGTTGCATGTAAACGTCCTCAATTAGGTGTCCTTGAAGAAACGCGTTATTAACATCTAGTTAGTGCATGGAGCAACCACGAGCAAGTGCAATAGTGAGAACAACTTTAACAGTTTAAGGTTTAACAACTCTTTAAAATCAAGTCCTGGGGTTTGAGTGAATCCTTTTGCAACCAGTTTGGCTTTGTACCGAGTAATGCTACCATCAGGATTTTGTTTTATACGAAACAACCACTTGCAACCCACCAAATTTTTAGTATCATTTCTTGGAACTAGTGACCAAGTTCCATTGTGTAGCAAGGCATCAAACTATTTTGAACAGACCTTTCACAAATGAGGATATATTTTGAGGGCTTGAGTCACAATTAAAGGTTCAAGATTTTTCTGGAATATATACATGTTTGGTGGCAGCAAATATTTTCTTTGGTTTGAAAATATTGCTTTGAGATCTAGTGATCATCGAATGACTACAAGAGAGGTTATAATAGGTAGTAAAGTATATAGGATGGTATAGTGAAGAAATCATTACCTATTGTTGCATTAAGGTTGTTTGAAGTCTGATTGGGCACTAGCGCAAGATCCAGGGCAGCTGATTCATTGTTGGAATTGAGTTGTGGTGTTGGAGAGTTGTTGCACTAGAGGGAGTGGACTTGAGGTACTTGTTGATATGATGGTATGCCATGTTGTGTTAACTGGAGGTGAGCGGGTGAGGTAGGCTTATTTTGTTGGTTTAGGGTTTCAATGAAGTTGACATGCCTTGAGTTGTAGATACGGTTTGAGTTGGGTTCTTAACACAAAAATGCGTGTTGTGGGAGAGAGTATCCTATGAAGATATAAGGGAGGGAGCGACTTTGTGTAGTGTGGTTGAAGAGAGGACGTGTTGAGATTGGGAGTGTGGCAGTGAGAAAGACAGCTCCAAAGATTAGTGGGTAATTTTGCATGATGGAGAAGAGTGTGGCCTGTTACAACAATGTGTCCATGTCTTCTTTAAGCTGTTTGCATGTGACGGGATGAGAGATTCCATGTGTTTTTCTTCGAAAAAGCCAATAATATATTGAATATGTGGCACTAGGGGTGCCACAAACCCACAATTACAATGAAAAACAAGGTAAGGTATAGTTAGTTTATGAGCAAAACTAGGCAGCAATCAAGAAGGTCTACATATTTAGGTATAGTTTATCCCAATAGAGAGCACATGTAGCCCGGTAGGTACGTCTAGCCACCATATCAAATCTCAGACTTGACTTCTCCACCCATTTTGCCAGCATTAGGATAGACACGCTATCCATTGATCAAAGGTAAAGTCCATGAGGTCATTAAGCTTCAGCCACAACCACACAGTAAGGTGTAAGTTGGCTTTCAATTCCTCTAGCGCAGTCACCCTTCTTCTGAAAATCTGGTTGTTTCGCCCATTCCAAATACACCATACAACAGCACTCCTAACAATATCCCAACCCTTCATTTGGAGAAGACCAAAACATAGTTGTGGGTACTGACAATAATGTAGCCTCATTGTTTGAGGCTGGACTGTGCTGATAGAAGCCCAAGAAAAATAGTACTTCCACAATTGGTCAGCAATTGGGCAGCTGAAAAAGAAATGCGGTAATGTCTCTGGTTGCTCATTGCACATCACACACATTGAGTCTAGAGGAGGCAAGACGATGCCTCTTCTTAGAAGATTATCAACCGAAGGAAGAGCATTATGTAGCAGACGCCATTGCAAGATCACAGCTTTAGGTGGGATTTTCATATGCCAAATGTGAGCCAATAAGTCGTCCACCTGACCATTGTACTTGAGATCATGTAATGCCTTGTAGGTAGAGCTGACCGAGAAGCATCCTGACTTATCAATAGGCCACACCCATCTATCCTTAGCATGTTTTTGCAAGGCCACTGTGGAGACTGCATGTTGAAAGAATGTCCATTGCTCTTGATCTCTCTCTAGCCAGTTTCTTCTCCATTGGAATTGCCAGTGCCAATCATCTCCCTCCCAGCAGCCCATGTCAGCCAGCTTATAACTTTTTTGCTTTGAGTTGACATACACCCGAACCTTTTGCAACAAACTTTCTTCTCCTATCCCCACATCCTCCCAGAAGTTAATTTCACCCCCATTCCCAATTTCGCTTACTCCGGGTACAACCAGATCATGATGTACCCACCAGACGAGGTGCACACGTCATTCATCACCGATCACGCCAACTACTACAACCGTGTGATGCCCTTCGATCTCAAAAATGCGAGGGCCACCTACCAGCGGCTGATGGACAAGGTTTTCCACCAGCAGATCAGACAGAACATGGAGGTCTATGTCGATGACATGGTGGTCAAAACCACCTCGACTGAGGGTCATGCTGCCGACCTGGCCGAGGTGTTTGGGCGGATCAGAAAGCACAACATGCACCTCAATCCAGAAAAGTGCGTCTTTGGCGTCCAGGGAGGTAAGTTCCTTGGATTCATGATCACTAACAGGGGGATCGAGGCCAACTTGGAGAAGTGCAAAGCCATCATCCAGATGCAGAGCCCTTAAAGCGTGAAGGAAGTCCAACGCTTGGCGGGAAGGTTGGTTTCCCTGTCCCGTTTTATCCTCAGGCTGGCGGGGAAAGAGAGGCCCATCTTCACCCTGCTGCGCAAGCCGAAAAATTTCGAATGGACAGACCGGTGCGAAGAAGCTTTCAAAAGCTTCAAAGCCTTCCTCACGACTCCGCCAATTCTCCAGAGGCCGGATCACCAAGCCGACCTCCTCCTCTACCTGGTTGAAAATTACAAATCTCGGTGACTCCCGCATTTCACTGAGATTTATTAATTTCAATCAAATTCGAGCAATAACAAATATTTTATCTGTTCCTATTTATAGCTGAAATTCATTGAAAATTACAAATATCGGTGATCTCTCGCATCTCACAAAGATTTATTATTTTCAATAAATTTCAAGCAGTATCCAATATTTTTTTTTCTATAACACTATTAATAGATGAAATTTATAGAAAATAACAAATCTCAGTGACTCTCATAACTCACTAAGATTTATTACGATCGATGAAATTTCAAACAATTTTTGTCCGTAACCCTCTTTGTTACCTAAAATTTGTTGAAAATTATAAATCTCGGTGACTCCCGCATTTCACTGAGATTTATTATTTTCATACAAATTCGAGCAATAACAAATATTTTATCTATTCATATTTATAGTTGAAATTCATTGAAAATTACAAATCTCGGGGATCTCCCGGATCTCCCTAAGATTTATTATTTTCAATAAATTTCAAGCAATATCCTATATTTTTTTTCTATAACACTATTAATAGTTGAAAGTTATAGAAAATAACAAATCTCGGTGATTCGCATAACTCACTAAGACTTATTATGATCAATAAATTTCAAACATTTTTTGTCCCTAACCCTCTTTATTACCTGAAATTTGTTGAAAATTATAAATCTCAGTGACTCCCGCATTACACTGAGATTTATTATTTTCAATCAAATTCGAGCAATAACAAATATTTTATCTATTCCTATTTATAGTTGAAATTCGTTGAAAATTACAAATCTCGGTGATCTCCCGCATCTCACAAAGATTTATTATTTTCAATAAATTTCAAGCAATATCAAATATTTTTTTATATAACACTATTAATACATGAAATTTATAGAAAGTAACAAATCTCGGTGACTCTCATAGCTCACTAAGATTTATTATGATCAATAAATTTCGAACAATTTTTGTCCCTAACCCTCTTTATTACCTGAAATTTGTTGAAAATTATAAATCTCAGTGACACCCGCATTTCACTAAGATTTATTCTTTTCAATCAAATTCGAGCAATAACAAATATTTTATCTATTCCTATTTATAGTTGAAATTCGTTGAAAATTACAAATCTCGGTGATCTCCTGCATCTCACTAAGATTTATTATTTTCAATAAATTTCAAGCAATATCGAATATTTGTTTTCTATAACACTATTAATAGATGAAATTTACAGAAAATAACAAATCTCGGTGACTCTCATAACTCACTAAGATTTATTATGATCAATGAAATTTCAAACAATTTTTGTCCCTAACCCTCTTTATTACCTGAAATTTGTTGAAAATTACAAATCTCGGTGACTCCCGCATTTCACTGAAATTTATTATTTTCAATCAAATTCAACAATAACAAATATTTTATCTATTCCTATTTATAGTTGAAATTCATTGAAAATTACAAATCTCGGTGACCTCCCGCATCTCACTAAGATTTATTATTTTCAATAAATTTCAAGCAATATCCAATATTTTTTTTCTATAACACTATTAATAGATGAAATTTA